GACGGTGCCGCTCTCTCTGAAGGGGAATGACGGCGCTTGGCGCAGGCTGCCCCTCCAACCCCTTACCCCCGGTTTGTGTCCCCGGGGAAGCGGGGACCGCGCTCCGGAGGGAGGGACGAGGCCTTTCCCGGGCTCCGGCGGGACCGGCCGTTTCTCCTCACCAGGAGTCCCACCTTCCCGGGCCCCCTTCTCTGCCTCGGCTGCTCCTTCGCTATCTGTCGTGTCAGTCGCGACAGCCAGAGCTCCCGATCCCGAGTGCCGCGGCTCCCTCAGAGCTGCTGCGGAAGGCCCGGCGGCTCAGGGGAGCTGGGAAGTGTCTCTCCCTCACGGAGGGGAGGCTCTGTCCCGGGGCGGCTCTCGGGAGGCAGGCGTCCGGACACCGGGCGCTCCGCTGGGCTTCAGCCCCGCAGCATCCTGTCCTGCCAGCCTCGGTGAACTCGGCGCTGGGAGATTGTCGTGGGGATGGAGTGGCCGAAGCGGGTTTTCCTGTGTTGCATAGTGAAAATTACTTTATTGACCTTGTCTGTTCCCTGCAGCTCCTTTTCCAGCTTCAGACAAGGAGGTTTGGGTGTGGGGTGAGAAACCCCAGCTCTGTATAAGCATTTGGAGAAGGGGACTAGGGAGAAAGGGAAACAGCTCCTTGTTTCGGCAGAGATTCCCAAACTTCTCTTCTGTGTCTTGTCTGTATGCTGGTATGCCAAGGGCGTCGCGAGCACCATAGTTACATTGCATATCCTAATTATATGGGAGCAGAGGAGTTCCAGTTTCCTGCTGGTTTTCTTTCAGACTTCACCGCTGTCGTAGTAACAGGGCATGTCACTGAATTTTCTGATGTCCAGGTTTCCAACAGCGTGTTTTCTAAGTGTGTTCTCTACCAGCTGGCAATTGAAGCTGGAACAACAGCTTGGCTGTAATGTGTAAGAGCACAGGTACAAATATTTAGTGTTTGCTAAAGTGTGTGGTTTGGCTCCCTCAGTGCTCCTTCAGAACAGGGCGTAAAAAATATCTGTTGCCATGGAGAGAAATCAGTTGCACATCAAGTCTGAAAACGTGAGATGAAGAGCAGAGGCAGAGAGGTAATTTTTCAATGGGCCATGGCCCTTGCTAAGCTCTGCTCACCTGAGTTGCGCTGGGGAACAGCTGTAGCAGTGCTGTGACTGCTGATGTGGCTGATGATGCCCATGCTGACTGCTGAGTTTCTTTGTCTGGATTTCATGTAGTTGCAGATTGCAGGATGTGAACTTCTCTAACTGACATAAACGTTGCTTGGATTTTCTGAGGATGACTTGTCACATACTGATCTGAGTAGGTGATACTTAGAGATAAATATTTTCTGCTACTATTCTGAGCTATCTTTTTTGTCATTATAGAAAGCAAGGGACTTATTTCTGTTTTATTTTTAATCAAGGGGGTTGATATAAGGTGTCAACAGCAACAGATGGCTAATAGAAACTATTTCCAGTCATCTTAACAGAGCTTACTCAGCTCTTGCAAAATACTAACCAGCTGAAAGCTGTAATGCTAAATCATAGAGGACAAAACCCCCTAAAAGTCTTGCATTAATAGAGGTCGGGGTTTAGTACCTGTATGAGATTGTTTTGAAAGTCCCTGGAGAGTTTTTTCTGCAGTTACAGTGAGGTAATTCTCTAAACTGCAGTTGTGGAAAGAAAAGTTATACAATCTACTAAATGCAATTCTAGTAGAAGGATGGTCTCCAAATCTGCCTATCTCGTGTGGATGAAAGAATTTGAGAAGGTCAAACATTAAGGTAGGATTTGTGTCCTCCGATAAAACAAAATTGACTTTTGATAGAGATGCAGCTTTGAAGGATTTTTTGTCATTCTCAAATGGAGATATTCCTGATTTGAGGGTTTTTTTTTTGTTTTGTTCCACTGAATTACCTTGTGTTGATGAATGGACAGCAGCTAAAGGTTTCCTCTCTACTAAATGTCAGCTGCTCTGATAGTGTTGCTGGTGTGGCTGTGGTCAGCTGTCAGTGAAACCTGACTCCCTCTCCCAAGGTTGAAAACCCAGTTGTCATTGCTGGGCGTTTTGCTTATCTGTTCCTTGTGTTCCCCTGTGTGTTTGCTCATCAGGCTTTCCACTCAGTGCCAGAAAAGGTCACTGTAAGAGCCCATGAAGCCCGTGCTTTATCCTTCATTATCAGATAGGTTCTGCATGGGTCGTATACAGAAAGAGGAAGCAGAATGAATGAAGAGGATGCCAGTGCTACCCTTCAAGTGGTACTGTGGAGGAAGACATAAGCAGTTTTATTTTTAGTATCTTCTAATAAATATGCTTGGTCATAACTAATACTTCTATATTTTTGTTTCACAGAGGCTTACTCCAGCTGTCTTACTTATCTGGTGGCTGTAGCTGCTCTTTTGAAGTTTAGAGAAGGACAGTTTCAGTCTTGGAAAGACTGAGGGGTCATTCTTACAAACTGTGGTGATCTAGGAGATAATAGGAGACATCTCTCTCCAGTGCAGGGGTCTGCTGGCTCAAAGGGAAGAGTTTTGTCTCAGAAATTTTTTGCAGTGGGGTGGACCCACAATTGGTTCTTGATATCCTGGGGCTTTATTCTGCTTAGCAGTGGCACTGGTTACTCAGAGGTTGTGCACTCTTTTTACCTATGTGTGCACCGTGTTGTGTTCACGTGGCTGACAGTGAAGTGG